CATGCATGCACGGCCATACCATGAGAGCCCATGCATGCACGGCCATACCATGAGAGCCCATGCATGCACGGCCATACCATGAGAGCCCATGCATGCACGGCCATACCATGAGAGCCCATGCATGCACGGCCATACCATGAGAGCCCATGCATGCACGGCCATACTATGAGAGCCCATGCATGCACGGCCATACCATGAGAGCCCATGCATGCACGGCCATACCATGAGAGCCCATGCATGCACGGCCATACTATGAGAGCCCATGCATGCACGGCCATACCATGAGAGCCCATGCATGCACGGCCATACCATGAGAGCCCATGCATGCACGGCCATACCATGAGAGCCCATGCATGCACGGCCATACCATGAGAGCCCATGCATGCACGGCCATACCATGAGAGCCCATGCATGCACGGCCATACCATGAGAGCCCATGCATGCACGGCCATACTATGAGAGCCCATGCATGCACGGCCATACCATGAGAGCCCATGCATGCACGGCCATACCATGAGAGCCCATGCATGCACGGCCATACTATGAGAGCCCATGCATGCACGGCCATACCATGAGAGCCCATGCATGCACGGCCATACCATGAGAGCCCATGCATGCACGGCCATACCATGAGAGCCCATGCATGCACGGCCATACCATGAGAGCCCATGCATGCACGGCCATACCATGAGAGCCCATGCATGCACGGCCATACTATGAGAGCCCATGCATGCACGGCCATACCATGAGAGCCCATGCATGCACGGCCATACCATGAGAGCCCATGCATGCACGGCCATACTATGAGAGCCCATGCATGCACGGCCATACCATGAGAGCCCATGCATGCACGGCCATACCATGAGAGCCCATGCATGCACGGCCATACCATGAGAGCCCATGCATGCACGGCCATACCATGAGAGCCCATGCATGCACGGCCATACCATGAGAGCCCATGCATGCACGGCCATACCATGAGAGCCCATGCACGGATGGCCCTGGGTGTCATTAGCAGCTCGCAGCACCAATGCTCTCCCTGCCATCAGCCCATAGCCCTGCATGCTGGAGCCGCAGTGGGGAGCGATGCAGAGGGATGGAGATGGAGAAGAAAATGAAGATGGGAGAGAAGAGGGGTGGGCAAGATGATTACTAAGGCGCCTAGAAACCAGAGGTGATGGGTGAATTTATTGGTTCATTTTTGCATTTAGGCAGACCCATCCTGCATCCTGCTCGCACACAACATCACCATTTCCCCCCCCTCCTCATTTTCCCTTCCCTCTCCCTCTCAAACTGCTACCCTGCATGCACGCACAGGCTATCAACAGAACCAGCACCCCCTCTCACCTGTGCAGAGTTGACTTTTGAGTTGACTTTTGAGTTGACTCTGAAGTCACCAGACTCCCCCCCACAACTCACCTGCGCACATAGACATGGTGGGTGCTTCCCGAATCGCGCAGCATTCTCACGTTTCCAGCTGGCAACTTATCCGCCACGTCAGCAGGAACAGCATATGCCACGTGGGCGCTGGTATTCCCCAGCTCCACGACTGCCACTGTTGGCTCCAGGTGGATTTTCAGGTGCTTTTCCTGAAGCTTTCCCAGGTTTCCCAGGAGATGGTTCACAGCTGTCTGGATAGCATGGGGGAAGGGGGGAGAAAGAAGCAGTGCATTAAGAAGAAGTGCCACACCAACAATGCACCATGCCATGCCATCGCCATCCCATGACGTCATCATGCCATGCATGCCCATGCTCCCCTACGCCCCCATGGCCACAACCACCCCGGCTCATCTACACGCCCTCTCTGTCTAAATACCGCATCTCCCCCACAGCCACCCCCCCAGCCTCGTCTCTCGCCCCCCCCTCCCCCCTCCCCCCACCCCCCACGCACCCAGGCAAAGAAGCCCGCATCTGTATCACCAAGCGTGCTGACGTCACCATGGCTGAAGGGGAACGGGTACTCCGTCAGCATCTGGCGGATCTGGGGGAAGAGGAGGGGTGGGGAAAGGGGATGGGGTAGGGGGGAAGGGCGAGGAGGAGCAGGGAGGGGGAGCGGGGAGGGAGGAGGGGGATGGGGAGGGCAGGGTGGGGTAGTGGGGAACGAGGGATGAGGATCAAGGGAGGGGATTTTTCTCCTGGGTTCAACCGAAATAAAAAGGAAGAAATAAAGGAGGGAGAGAAGAAGGGAACGCAGACCAGGAATTCGCTGCTCTCTGTTTTACTCTCTTCTTGTTCTCTCCATCAGTCACGCCTCTAAAACGCCTCAACGGCTGCTGTGCTGAATACTGAAAACTACGCAATACGCCATGCCATCCCATCCCCCACTCGCCTCTCTCTCTCTCACCCTCACCTTTCTCCTCCCTCCCCCACTTCTTGGCAGGCCCCCAAAATCTTTCAGCCCAGAGCAAAAAGCCCAAAGCCCAAGGCCCAAAGTTTAAAGCCTCACCTCTGCGAGGATCTTGCCAGCCTGGTCTCTTGACAGCTGTTCCTGCCCTCCAGTGGCCTGCCATGCATACAGTCACATGCGTGCGATACAGTCACAGTTGCGTGAGGTCACCATATGCGATACAGTCACAGTTGTGTGAGGTCACCATATGCGATACAGTCACGCAGACATAAGGTCACCAAACCAGTATAACCACAATCACTTCACTTGTAAAAAAAAAAAAATCTTAAGGCCAGGTGTAGTGCATGGCTAACTGGGTGCAGCCAGCAACGTACCCTGCGAAAGTGAATACACCAATCAGCGTACCCTGACAAGAACGGGTGTGACTGGTCTCATGAAATCAGGCACGGCTTTAAGTGCCTTCTTCATCAACGGTCGCAGGCTGTTCGCTGCTGCTGTGGCGTTATCCCCATACGCACCCAGGCCAGGCTTCACCTGCCATGGCAACAAACAGTGTGAAGGGAGCATGGGGAGTGCATGAGGAGAGCATGGGAGTGGCTTTCAGTGCATTCTTCATCAGCGGTCGCAAGATGTCCGCTGCTATCCTGGCATTAGCCCAACATGTTCCAACCCGGGCTTCACCTGTCATGGCATGGCAACCAACAGTGTGAAAAAGGCATGAGGAGAGCATGGGTGGCTTTAAGTGCATTCTTCATCAACGGTTGCAGGATGTCCGCTGCTGCCTTGGGATTATCCTATTATGCTCCCAACCCGGGCTTCAGCTGTCATGGCATCAAATAGCATGGCATGGCGAAGCATACGTTGAGAATGGGTATGACGAGAGCATTCCAGCAAAGAATATGAGCGGCGGAAGGAAGCATTTGCGTTGCCAAGAAAGCCGTCTACAATACAGAACAAAGGAAAATCACTAATAGGATCTCTCGGAAAAATATCAGCAAGCGTGGAAGTGAGACGGAACAATAAAGACAAACAAGGAACTCACTGATCAGAAGAAGCTCACCGAGTGCACCATTTCAGACCCTTTCTGAATCTCGACCAGCTCCATCCGCGAATCAAATCTGTACACGTGGACGCTGCTGCTCTCCGCGCTCACAGCGTCAACAACAACAGCATACGTGTCCCCCCCGCCCTCCCCACCACCACCACTGGTGCCGCTTTCACCGCCGGCCACCATCTTAATCGCCTTCGACTTCCCCTTCTCGCGCATGTTTCTTATTCTTCCGTCGCGGGACGAAGCCTCGCGATCCGACGCGCTTCCGCCATGAGCGGATGATCTGCCATGCGCGCCGATTAGGGCAGGGGAGCTGTTGTCGTTGTCCGAGGCGGGGGTGAGGACGAAGACGAAGAGGATTAGCGCCACGAGTGCCACCGGAATGGCCGCTACTAGCGCGACGCGACGCGATCGCACCACGCGCTCTCGCGCGGAATCCTGCCGTCGCGCCGCGACCATTGACGGGTTTAATTGGAACAAGTGGGATTTGGATGCTAAAAAACAGCGTAGTCACAGGGAGATTCGTTGAACAATATCAGCTTCCCGCGTCATTTTGACAATGCAACGCGACAGCACTAGAATAGCCATAGGAGAATCTGCTAGCGACTCGTGCCCGACGTAATGCCTAGATGGTGTCCGGTAGAAATTCAGAGGTTCGGCCTTAAGATGGTTACAGATTAGTTGTTTCGCATATAAGCAAAAAAGCTTCGCAAACATACCTACGAAACCGGAACAATTGCAGTTATAGTAGTACCGATGCAGTAACGTGTTTTGGAAAATCTTTGAAAATTGTCAAACTGCAACCACGACGCGTTCAGACCCGACACGTCGTGGCGATTTCACCTGAACTTTATGAACGAACTAGATACAGAATACCACCTCAATGCTGAGCTGAGTGCTCGACGAAATGTTTCTTCCCTTGATATCCCCGTTAGCACAGAGCACAAGGTGAATGGAAAATGGTAACGGGTATTACCGCTACATGACAGAAAGCATACACAAAGCACTCACTACGGGTACTAATCACCAGGTGGCTTTAAGCCAAGTTTTTAGCTGAGCAAGATTCAATTATACAAAGCATATAACATGGGGTTAAATGTGACCAGAGCAAGTTATTATGCTCTGCAAAAACCAAGTGCGGTGTGCCAACCAATGACGCAGTGGCAGAAATCACTTTTGGAAGCGACCAATGTCTTTCGCAAAACCCTCTCACAGAATCCTCCTATGGTATCTAGGGCCTACTCAGTAGAGGCGGAATTCACGGGAATGACACCATGGGCGCTCAGCAGCACCTCGATCCCTCAATCCCTCCATCCCTCTTCCGGAGCTTGTGTAGGCAACTCCCTTGTTGCACCGTAGGCTCACAACGCCAAGAAATCAGCTTCCCTGCAGCACACCGCCTGCTCTCCCTTGCATTCCCCACAGTCCACCAGCCCATGCCAATTTTCCTCCTCAAACTCATCTACCCATCCTACCCATCCTCCTCCTCGTGCTCCGACGTAACCACAACCGCGCGCGCACGGCACATTCCTCCTCCAGTGGTGTGCCAGCTCAGTGAAACCGACATGGCCACTCTTGCTTTGAAACAGCTCAGAAACCATTTTATCCCTCCTCCTCCTCGTCCTCCTCATGCTCCGATATAATCACCACCGCGCACGGGGCGTTCTTGCTGCAGTGGTGCGCCAGCTCAGTGTGGCTGACGTGGCCAATCTTGGACAGCACTTTCTGGATCGTGTTCTGCTGAGCTGGCTCGTGCCTGGAGATGCCACGTGTCGTGGCCAGCACCAGCACATCCGCTGAGATCATGTCGCAGAAATTGACAACCGCAGATGGCACGGACTTGGAATCCAGTAGAGCCACCTCAAAGCGCACCTGGGACGAGCAGGGGAGAAGGGGGGAGAGCACGAGCACTTCAGCAGAGATCAAAGCACTCTGCGGCGACGCAGAGCATCAGCTGAGATTATGTGGCAGAAACTGACCGACTACCGCAGAGGCCACAGACTTGGAATCCAGTAGAGCCACCGGTCTGATGACACAGGACAGCGCCTGCTCAGCATCCATGCTTTTGCCTCCCACCTCTCCCCCTTGCATTCCCTCCCATAATCCCTCACCAATTCCCTCCCCCGATCCTTTCCATCCCCCCAATTCCCTCCCCTCACCTTCTTCTCAATGGAAACCCCCACGAGCCGGGAGAGCGCCTGCTTGGCGTCCCTGTCCCGCTTGACTCGTTTCAGCAGCACAGGCACCGTGGCCTCATCAATCACCGCCGTGCCCGTCCGGTCGTCCCTCGTGCCTTATCCCCTCACCTTCTTTTCAATAGAGACTCCCACAAGCCGGGAGAGCGCCTGTTTGGCGTCGCCGTCCCACTTGAGGCGTTTCAGCAGCACGGGTGCTGTGGCCTCGTCGATCACCGCTGTGCCCGTCCCGATGGTCGACACGTTGCTCACCGACGGGCCGTGCGCTCCTCCCCCGCCCGCCCCGCCCGTGGCCGTCATGAGCTCCTTGAGCGCCTGCTCCCTGTCGCTGCCATCAGTTTCCTCGCCGTCTTTTATGGAGTCTGGAGGAGGAAAGGGGAGAGAGAGGAAAGGGAAAGGGAGGGTAATGTGAGGGAGGGAGAGGATGGGAAGGGACAATGAATGGGGCGTTGCCGGTCGGTGCCGTCCGTGTCGTATCCGTCCTTTATGGAGTCCGCAAGGAGGGGGAAGAGAGAAGGGGGGAGGTTCGAGGTCAGGAGGTAATCGTAAGGGAGGGATGAGAAGGGGCGATGAATGGGCTACTCCCGGTCGCTGCTGTGCTGTGTGTATCCTCCTTCCCACCCTTCATGGAGTCTGGTGTACATGGGAGGAGAAAGGCAGGTGAACGAGGGGAAGAGGAGGAGAGTGGGGTGTATGGGGAATGGAAGGAGGAGGCGAGGGAAGGTGTGGGATGGGAGCTGGATTAAGTTTGTGACAGCAGGTGGAGGGAGAGGGGAGGCGGCGGGAGGAGAGGGGGGACGGGAAAGGGAGGTGGAGGTGGGGCCTGTGGGCGGAGGGGGGCATTTGCAATAGCCTAGAATGTTGGAGGAGGGCAGCTGGTGGGCTGCGCTGCTGAATGGAGCTCAGATGTGGGGGAGGGTTGCTGGGTTGTTGTGGGGGAGGGTTGCTGGGTTGTTGTGGGGGAGGGTTGCTGGGTTGTTGTGGGGGAGGGTTGCTGGGTTGTTGTGGGGGAGGGTTGCTGGGTTGTTGTGGGGGAGGGTTGCTGGGTTGTTGTGGGGGAGGGTTGCTGGGTTGTTGTGGGGGAGCTTCAACTCTTTCTCGTATATTCTGGATGGATGCTTTCGGGGAGAGGAATATACGAGCCTAAACATGAGATTAACATCTAGGGTTGGGGATGGGTAGCTGATCGTGAGCAAGGGGTACGCATGGGGAAATGGAGGAGAGAGGAAGGGGTGAGGAAAGAGTGAGGAAGAAGTGAGGGAGGGAAGAGGAGGAATGAGGGAATGGAGAGGAAGAAGGGAGAGATGGAGGGGCGTTGCTTGCCTGCTCGAGGGACGCGGAGCGCGGATCGCCACGACGTGCGGTTGTGATAGAGCGCCACGATCAAACGGTCGTCGTGCTTCCGCATCCGCTCCTCCACGAAATCGCGTAGCGCGTCGATGCACATCTCGCAGCCGTCCATCGCCGCGACAATCGTACGGCCCTGATTGACGCTGAAGATGGTCGGCAGCCGATGCTTGGCCATCATCTTGACCCGAGACTTCTAAAAGACGAATCGCGCTACAAACCGCAACCGCGCGAAACTCCGTTCGGTCGGGGCGCCCCAAAACGACTCTTAACGGACTTTCTCGAATCGAAGCCTCTACCGCGGCAACCGCGCGGGTGCTCCAGAGATATCAGATTTCCGCAAACGCCTATTAAATACTGTAATCGAGCGAAGACCTGCTATTGTCTTCGAGGCTAAAGAAGACGACTCGAGGCTAGCCCACTTGTCGCCAGGCAGCCATGGCTGGTCCTGGGCGGCTCGCAGGCATGGCGATCGACCCGGATGTCGCCCGAATGTCGCCTGCCAAAGACACCGGAAACAGCGCAAGGCTGGACCGCGGCTTCTACCGTCTGCTGTCCAGCAATGCGCAATGCGGAAACGTTGGCGGAAATTGGGAGAGATTGGCGGTAGAAGTGACCTGTCTACTAGCGGCAAGGTGACACGAGAGCGGTGGTACCCATAATAGGCATTGGGAAATTTTGGTGCGCACAGCGTTCCAGCAGAGTTCGCTTCGCCTTGCACGCCCTGGGGTGGGGGAGGACGCTCGACCTAGGTCATAATGCCGGCTTACACCTTGCCTTGCTAGCGAGCAACATATTTTTTTCTCTCCTTTCCTAATCGGTAGCAGCGGCGTTGAAATAGGGAAAGAAGCACGAATTGCGCAGAGACGGTGTCGCGACTATTCAACTATAGTGACGGGAGTAATGTGCTTGCGTCTGCGTTGCGGAGGAAAATAGGCGCTGAAGTTGGTGTGGCCGAAAGAAAGGACTGCCAGAGATTAGTTGTTGAAATTACTCGATATAAGAGTGACGAGGAACAAATACGGTAGAACGAGTATACGGGTACATGAATCGTGCATATTATACTCTTTAAGAGGATTTCGTTTGTCTCTTTCACGAACCAATATGAAATTTCCGATGGGTAATATTCACAATATATTATGTGTAGAAGCGTATCGGGGGTCATTTTTGGATTCATAAATAGACGAGTAGGGCGTACCAAAACCTGCAAACAAAACCTAAAAGAGCACAACAAATCGTAAACATTGCAGATTAGGAATCGCATATAGTTTCATCTATAGAGGAGCTCTCATTAGCAGATATTTTCCTCCCAGAATTCGCAGATTCTTCAAAATATCCCACGCCCCTAGCAGCTTGCTTCACAAGTGTCTTCACTCCGCTTCCTTCCATGCTCCCCTTCACCGCAAAACCAGCCAACAAATTCGACTCCTAGTCATCTGACACGAAAGGGGCATCGCTTCAGCTCGGTCGGTGGTTTCAGCCCAGACAAAGGCGCAGACTTTCAGTTCTAGTTACGATCCATAATCCGCTGTGCCACCGTCGGCGAGCCTACGGTGTCACGACGTGCCAACGTTCCGATGGCGGCAGTCCCGGCAGGCCCGGTAGGGGCGCTGCCGCGGATGCGCGTTGCATGCCCCGCGTCCGCCCCGTCTCTCGCCGCTCCAACGGTCTCTTCCCTGCAACGCCTCGGGTTCCGCCAAATCGCGAGCGCGCAACCAGCACGCACCGCGCGCGTCACCTGCGATAGATGTGCCCGCGTGTCGAGGTCTGCCCCTGGCGCACTCACGCCCGTGCGCCCGTCGCCCGCTCCTCTCTCGCTCGCGCCTGTCTCGCTCGTTCCTCTCTCGCTAGCACCTGTCTCGCTCGTTCCTCGCGCGTTCGCTCATCGCGCCCTGCCGCCGCCTCGCAGACTCCTCGCGCGTCGCCTCGCCTCTTCCGATCTGCGCAGGCAGGTCCTTCCGCCGCTTCCCCAGCTGCTCTCGCCAACCACAACCGCAGGGCGCAGGCGAGTGGGTTCCGTTATTCGTAGCAGTGCTAGTAACGGGGATGCATCGGCCAGTTCCATCTGCTCGTCAGAGACGTCCGATAAGCCAACGCGTTTAGCGAGTCCCGACTCTGTATCGGGGACAGAAGACCCATGGATCGAAGGAGAAACGTTACCTTCGAGTAGATCGGCCAACGGGAATGCGCATACGCCTTTAGAGAATGCGGCGGTAGAGAATACGCCTTCAGACGATACGACTTTAGAGTCCACGAGTTCAGAGGTTACGACTTTACAAGCTCGCACGTGGCACAGCGCGAGCCCGAGTAGCGAGGGCGCCCGAAAGCTTGCTTCTGAATTTGCGCAAGCGCGGCCACCGCAGCCTCTCCCAGTGTTGGGGCGCCCAGCGCAGCCAGCGCAACTAGAGCAGGTGCAGGTGCAGCCAGCGCAGGTGCAGTGGCAGGGGCAGGGGCAACCAGCGCAGCGGCAGAGGCAGAGGCAGGGGCATAATGTGGAAACGCGGGGTCGTTACTCCCCGCGGCGGAGAGGTGAATCGGATGCGCGTACGCGTTATTGGGGCTGGCGGGAGGTTGTATCGGAGTGGGCGGCGCTGGAAATGCAGAAGAAGCTTCTTCTGGCCAAGCAGCGACAAGCAAGGCGAGGGGACAGGGTTTTACCAAAAAGGGTTTTAGAAAGTAGGGGTTCAAATGGCAGGGTTTTAGACAGTGAAAACGGTGATATAAGTGAGGAGAGGGAAGATGAAGGTGAGGGGGAGAGGGGGGAGGGGAGGGGGGAGGAGCAGAGTGAGGAGAGGAGTGTGAGGGAGCAAGCGGGGACATGGAAGGGGTGGAAGAGGTGGGAGGACAAGAGGCAGCGGCGCGACAGGGAGGGGCAGAATGAGAAGAATGGTGAATGGCAGACGGAGGAGGAGGAGGAGAGGTGGGAGGAGAAACGAGGAGGGGATGCAGGTGGTGCTGTCAGAGGTGGAGAGCGGGATGGAAACGAGGAGGGATCCTCTGTCCAGGTGGCTGCTCAGGTGGCGGCTCAGGTGATTTCAGCAGAGAGGAGTGGGGAGGGGCGGAGCGTGGAGGAGATTGTGGATGGGTGGAGGGGCAACCGATACCACATGATGGAACTGGTGAGTGCCACGTGGCAGGATTCTTGTCTAGTCCTCAATCTAAAACGCCAGAGCTTCAACACCAAACCCCAATTCTTGAATTTCAAAACCCCAAACCTTAACCTCGAGCAATTATATTCCAAAGATCTGCTTGCAACCCATCCCGTCGCTCCTGGCCGGCTCTGATTGGATGTATCTGCACCCTGCTGCCACCGCCACTCCTCATACTACCCCTCCACCTCTTGCCCTCCCTCCCATCTCACATTACCCCTCCACACCTCGTATCACCCCTTTCAACAGATCATGGAGCTCTGGATGCAGCACTCCTTGGCGCTGCCCCTCATGGTGTTTGACTGGATGCGCCAGCAGCCCTGGTGCCACCTCATACCACCCCTCCTAACCTAGTTTGTTTCTGTTACCTGGTTACCTGGCAGATCTTGGAGCTCTGGTTGCAGCAAGCCCCTTCTCTCTCCTTGAGGGTCTTTGATTGGATGCGCCACCAGCCATGGCGCCGCCCACGCCCCACCTTGTACCACCCCTCCACACCTCATACCACCCATTCGACAGATTGTTTGTGGAGCTGTGGATGCAGCACGCCCCTACTCTCTCCCTCAGGGTGTGTGACTGGACTGGATGCGCCAGCAGCCCCGGTGCCGCCCACACCTCATTCCACCTCTCATAAAGTGGTTACTCTCTCTTACTTGCGTGGCAGATATTGGAGCTGTGGATGCAGCATGCCCCAGCTGTTTCCCTCAGGGTCTTTGATTGGATGCGCCAGCAGCCATGGTGCCGCCCGCGCCTCGACTCCTACAGCCTCGCCGTTCAGATCGCCGCCCACTCCCGCATGTGGGGACGAAGCGAGGCGCTGTTCGAGGAGATGCAGGCGGACGGCGTGCGGCCGGACTCGTTTGTCTTTTCTGCGATGGTGCGTGTGCTGGCGCAGCAGGGGCGGTGGGAGGATGCGATTGGATTGGTGGAGAGGCGGGCGGCAGCAGACGTCCCGGAGCTGATGTCACTAGTGAAGTGAGTGATGTGATTGGTCCAGAAATCTTGCTTTGCTTGCTGATTGGCCCACTTTTCACCTACTTGTTCTGGCCTCCAGTCACCTTTGCCACCTCACCACACGGCCTTCATGTTTTTTCTGTCTTTCCACCCCCACCTGAGAATTCTCAAAAGTCTTTCCACCCCCACCTGAGAATTCTCAAAAGTCTTTCCACCCCCACCTGAGAATTCTCAAAAGTCTTTCCACCCCCACCTGAGAATTCTCAAAAGTCTTTCCACCCCCACCTGAGAATTCTCAAAAGTCTTTCCACCCCCACCTGAGAATTCTCAAAAGTCTTTCCACCCCCACCTGAGAATTCTCAAAAGTCTTTCCACCCCCACCTGAGAATTCTCAAAAGTCTTTCCACCCCCACCTGAGAATTCTCAAAAGTCTTTCCACCCCCACCTGAGAATTCTCAAAAGTCTTTCCACCCCCACCTGAGAATTCTCATAAGTCTTTCCACCCCCACCTGAGAATTCTCAAAAGTCTTTCCACCCCCACCTGAGAATTCTCAAAAGTCTTTCCACCCCCACCTGAGAATTCTCAAAAGTCTTTCCACCCCCACCTGAGAATTCTCAAAAGTCTTTCCACCCCCACCTGAGAATTCTCAAAAGTCTTTCCACCCCCACCTGAGAATTCTCAAAAGTCTTTCCACCCCCACCTGAGAATTCTCAAAAGTCTTTCCACCCCCACCTGAGAATTCTCAAAAGTCTTCCCACCCCCACCTGAGAATTCTCAAAAGTCTTTCCACCCCCACCTGAGAATTCTCAAAAGTCTTTCCACCCCCACCTGAGAATTCTCAAAAGTCTTTCCACCCCCACCTGAGAATTCTCAAAAGTCTTTCCACCCCCACCTGAGAATTCTCAAAAGTCTTTCCACCCCCACCTGAGAATTCTCAAAAGTCTTTCCACCCCCACCTGAGAATTCTCAAAAGTCTTTCCACCCCCACCTGAGAATTCTCAAAAGTCTTTCCACCCCCACCTGAGAATTCTCAAAAGTCTTTCCACCCCCACCTGAGAATTCTCAAAAGTCTTTCCACCCCCACCTGTCGTCCTCTCCTCTCTAACTCCCTGTCGTCTCTTGCACTCGCCCTTCCTTTCCTCCCTACCGCGGTTTCCCTCATCCCCTTCCCCACCATTCCCCTTCTTCCTCATCCCCATCTCACCCATTCCCATCATCTCGCAGGGTCTTGCTGCACGACATGGCATGCTCGCCACACGCCGCCTCCCTCACAGCAGCCCTCCTCTCCTCACTCTCCTCCCTCCCCTCCTCCTCCTCTCCCTCCTCCTCCGCCTCCTCCTCGCCAAACCCCTTTTCTCTCGACCACGAGTCATACCGTCTGCTCCTCCGCTCCTTCTACTCCCACAACCACCTCCCCCTCATCCCACCAACCGTAACAAGCATGATCCAAGCAGGCTATCCTCTCAGCCAATGGGATGCCGCCATGTGGCTCGAGGCCCTGGCTGCCCAGGGCGACGTTGCAGGGATCCGGGCAGCTGTTGCGGAAAGTTTGGCGCTCGGGCTGCCCGAGCCGGAAAGTTTTCGGATGGCGTTGGTTCTGGGGTTTGCGAGAGCTGGGGAGATGGACCGAGCTTGGATTGTGTTTGTAGGGAAGGAGGAGAGTGAGAGAGTGAGTGAGGGAGTGAGTGAGGGAGTGAGTGAGGAAGTGCAGGAGGGAGTGAGTGAGGGAGTGCAAGAGGGAGTGGCGAGCCAGGTTTCTCAAAAACAGCCTAAGAGGGGTGTGGAGCCGAGCTTGTATGTGATGGTGGTGGAGGCGATGGTGGGGGCGGGGCGCATGGAACAGGCGGAGGCGGTGTGTGCGGAGTATGGGCGCGCTCACTTGGTCACTGTGCAGCGGTTCAAATACGGGGTGAGTGGACGCTAGTAAGCAAGCACCACGTCAGCAAGCACCACGTCAGCAAGCACCACGTCAGCAAGTTGCACCTGAGCTAACTTATGCTCAATGGTCACCTGCCATGCCACATTGCCCTGCATCACCCTCTCCTTGTCCCTCTCTTGCTCCCTCAGCCTTCCCTCCCTCATCATCCTCCCTCCTCCCTCCTCCCTCCTCCCTCCTCCCTCCTCCCTCCTCCCTCCTCCCTCCTCCCTCCTCCCTCCTCCCTCCTCCCTCCTCCCTCCTCCCTCCTCCCTCCTCCCTCCTCCCTCTTCCCTCCCTCCCTCCCTCCCTCCCTCCCTCCCTCCCTCCCTCCCTCCCTCCCTCCCTCCCTCCCTCCCTCCCGCCTCCCGCCTCCTCCTTCCTTTCATCCTCTTAGCCTCTTCCATTCTTGAATAGCACGTCCTCCTTTCCTTCCCCCCGGTCCTCCCCACCCCCCTCCCCTCCTCCCCATCAGCGCCCCTACACTGTACTCCTGTCCGCCTACCTCCTGGCCGGCAATCTTTCGGCCTTTTCCCGTGTATGGACAGCAATGCGGGCGGGCGGCCGCCCGGCGGACAGTTACGCGCTTCGTCTGCTAGCCAAGGCCTGCGCGTCTATGGGCGGGCTCAGGGGGCTGGCGGTAATGCTGTGGGCGGCAAAAGAGGAGCGGGAGAGGGAGGTGGGAGGGAGTGAGGGAGAGAGTGAGGGAGGGAATGAGGGAGGGAGCGTGGGAGGGAGTGAGGAAGTGGATAGTCCAACGTGGGAAGCTGTCGGGGCGAGCGGTGGAGCAAGTGTAGCAGTTCCAGAAGGCAGTGTGACAGATGAACCATGTGCAAGCAGCGCTGCAGTGGCAGCAGGTGCATCTGCAGCAGCGCCGTTGGCAGAGTTGGCAGCAGGAGCTATGGTGGTAGAGGTACCCCCGGAAGAGGTGGAGGCAGCAGAGAGGCAGTTCCCCGTGCTGGCGGGCGAGCTGAGGGGTAGCGACAAGGCGCTCAGGGTGGTTGTCAGGTACCTGTTTAAGGATGCTGACGTGGCGGGTGGGGATGACATCGTGCCTGCTGACGTGGCGGCTGGCGATGATGTCGTGCCTGCTGACGTGGCAGCGAGCGGGGAGAAGGTGGACGGTGGCATGGCGGAGGGTGACGGGCACGGGGTTGTTGAGGCGGGAAGCGGATGGTCGGAGGAGTGTGTGGGTGTGCCGGCAGCAGCTGAGGAGGCTGTGAGCGTGCCGGCAGCAGGACAGCAGCATGTGTGTGGTGGAAGGGGCGAGGAGGCGTCAGAGGGAGATCATGCGGGCGAGTCTGATTGGGACGTGCTAGGGCAGTCAGTGTGCGCGAGTGATGGGATGGTGGAGGGGGTGGAGGGAGCAGAGGCTGTTTTTAAGTCGACTCAAAAACAAACACGTGGTGTGCTGGGGCAGTCGGTGTGCGCGAGTGATGGGATGGTGGAGGGGGTGGAGGGAGAAGAGGAAGCACAGAGAGAGGAGGAGGAGAGGGGACAAGGGGGGGATGCGGGAGAAGAGAGGGGGGGAGGAAAAGCGGAAGAAGAGAGGGAGGGAGAGGAAGGAGGAGCAGCAGAGGCGAAGGGGGAGGTAGAGGGAGGGCTGCGAGGCAGAGGAGGGCAGGAGAGGGAGGAACGGATAGCTTTGGGGGCTCAGGTGGTGGAAGTAAGGGGCGGGGCAGGGGAGGTCGTGGAGGGAGTGGGAATGCCAGTGGCGACAACAGCAGGGGACGGGACAGGGGCGGCAGCAGTGGTAGTGGCAGAAGGAGCAGGGGAAGGAGCGGCAGACGATGTAGCAGTGGCGTCAGCAGTGGTGGCAGCAGCAGAAGTTGATAGGGAGAGAAGAGAGATGGAACGGACGGGAGGGGAAGGCGAGGGGTCAGGAGTGAGGAACGGAGGGGAGAACGGAGGACTTTCAAGTGGTGAAAATGGTAGCAACAGTGGCAGCAGCAGCAGCAGCAGTTTGAGCCTGGCAGAGCGAAGGCTGGCGATGGGATGGGTTGGGGGAAGGCGTGGGGAGGGCAGAGGGGGTGGAGAAGGAGGGAGGGGGAAGAGTGTGGATGAATCCATGCTGAGAAGGCCGGTTGTGGGTGGCAAAGTGGAGGCTGGTACAGTGCAGCACGGTGGCAGTTGGAGGGATGAGAACCAACTAGGTGCAGTGCACATGGCTGTAGCAGAGATGGCTGTAGCAGAGGCGGCTGTAGCAGAGGCGGCTGTAGCAGAGACGGCTGTAGCAGAGACGGCTGTAGCAGAGACGGCTGTAGCAGAGACGGCTGTCGCAGAGATGGCTGTAGCAGAGCGGGCTGTAGAGGCAGCTGTAGCAGAGGCATCACCAGAGGGGGATTTTCCTGAGGAGATGGTGGCACAGGCGGCTGGAGGAGAGGCAGAGGCGGTGGATGACGCTATAACGAAGGTGATTGCAGCAGAGGCTGGGGGGAATGAGGCTGCTGCAGCTGCAGGGAGTGATGCTGCACCTGAGGAGATGGTAGCAAAGGCAGTTGGGGGAGTGGCAGAGGTGGTGGATGGCTCTACATCGAAGGTGACTGCAGAAGAGCCTGTGGGAAATGAGGTTGCAGGCACTGATTCTCATGCAGTTGAAGGAGACGCACATAGGGTAGGCAACAGGGTAGGCGACAGATTAGGCCAGAGGTTCGGCAACAGGTTTGGTCGCGACAGGTTCGGCGACAGGTTTGGCAATGACAGGGTGGGTGACTATGTGCAGAGCACTTACTGGGGCGTGGTGTGGAACCCTGAGAGTGGCGCAGAGGGAGGGGATGCGAGGGCGGGAGGCACAGGCAGGCGGGGCGGAAGGGTGGGAGGGCGGGAGCGGGCGCGGGTGGGGGAGAGAGTGCGGAGTGCGTTGGAGGAGCTAGAGAGGGCGGAGGAGGGGGAGCTGGCGGAGAGATGGGCGCAGCTGGCGCAGGGGGAGGGGGAGAGGGCAGGGGAGAGGGGAGGGGAGAGGGGAGGAGCGAGGGGGAGGAGGCAGGGGGCGGCTCAGAGAGTGGAGCAGACGTGGGAGCTGATGGGGGAGAGGCGGGCGAGGCTGCGAGGGGATCGAGAGCGGTTGAGCCCGGTGATGGGGGGTGGTCGGGGAGTGAGGGGGGAGGGGAATGAAGGGGCGGATGAGGCGGGGATGGGGGAGTGGGAGCAGGAGGGGGAACGGGATGGGGAGGGGAGGGGGAGTGAGGTGGTGTGGAAGAGGGTGGATCCTGAAGAGGCGTGGCTGTTGGTTCAACAGCAGATGGTGAGTGCAGTGCGCTTTGAGGCGCCTCAAAGGTTTTTTAAGCGAGTTGTGAGGCGCCTCAAAGGTTTTTTAAGCGAGTTGTGAGGCGCCTCAAAGGTTTTTTAAGCGAGTTGTGAGGCGCCTCAAAGGTTTTTTAAGCGAGTTGTGAGGCGCCGCAAAAGATGTGGTGGTGGCGGTGTGGAAGAGGGTGGATCACCATGAGGCGTGGCTGCTCGTTCAACAGCACATGGTGAGTGCAGCAAGCTTTGGGGCGCCTCAGTGCAGAGCAGTGGTGAGTGCAGTGCTGCTCTCTTGCTGTATTTATCTGAGCTTTCAAGAACCAATCATAACTGTCACTTGCTTCTTCGTCCCCCTGCACTTCTCTCCCCCCCCCCCCCATCAGGCGGATCCCGCCGCGCCTCCGCCCCCTCCTGCTGCATGGGCGCGTGTTTTCTCTGCCCTGCGCGACCCCGGGCAGTACGGGCAGCTGAAAGAAGTTTACCGGATGATGCTAAGTGCTGTGGGGCGGGAGGGGACTCAAATGCACGGGCAGCAAGGGCAGGAGGGACAGGAGGAGGGTCAAATGCGCAGGCAGCAAGGGCAAGAAGGGCAGGAGGGACAGGAGGAGAGTCAAATGCCCGTGCAAGAAGGGCAGGAGGGACAGGAGGAGAGTCAAATGCCCGTGCAAGAAGGGCAGGAGGAGCTGAGATGGGTGCAGCAGGGGCGGGAGGAGATGCAAGTGGGGCGGAGCATGAGCCGCTATGCTGGGACTGCTGATGGGGGGGTCGACAGTAAAAGAAGTGAAACTCAAGAGGGTGACAGTAGGGGGAGGGGCAGCGGTAGAGTTGACAGCAGTGGCAGTGATAGTAACGAGGGTGATAGTAATGAGAGTGCTACAGTGTTCACAGGAGGGTATGTGCTTCCATTCAATCTGGTGCTGATGTCAGCATGCAGGCAGGAAGCAGCTGATGACGTGGCAGCTGTTTTTGGTGACATGCTCAGTCATAACGTCATCCCGTCATGGGTATGTGATGGGCAGCATGAAATGTGATGGGCAGCATGGGTATGTGATGGGCAACTCTACTGTCCTAATTTCAAACCCAAAGCCCCTGAGCCTGCCACCCTAAACCCTAAACTGCAAACCTTCTTGGTGCACCCTCTCCCCCCACTCCTCCTCAACCTTCCCCCCCCACACACACACTTCCTCACTTCTCTCTTCCCCCTCCCGAGCTCCCTTTACAGAGATCTCTACTCTTCGTGCTGAAGGGTGCATGCGGCCCCAACCAGCCGTTCCCCTCCCCCACATCGCTCATTGCCTTTGTTGCCTCTAAAACCTTTCCCCCTTTCCCCTCCTCTCCCTCCCCCCACTCTCTCCCTCTACAGAGGTCGCTGCTCTTCGTGCTGAAGGGTGCATGTGGCCCCAACCAGCCGTTCCCCTCCCCCGCAACCCTTGTTGCCTTTGTTGCCTCTAAGGCCACTCAGCTGCCACCAGAGCCCCACGCGTCTGAAGAACCGGCGACAGCTGGCGCGGTTACATCTGATACAGTTACATCGGACAGGGTTACGTCTGCGGCGGCCCCGTGTGCCAGCTCAGCGTTGTCCGCGCATGCCAGCTCAGCGTTATCCACACGTGCTCGAGAGGTTCTGGAGAACATGGCAGTGCTGCTGATCGGAGAGCCGTGGGCCGTTGATCGTCTGAGATGGAGCGTGGAGATCGCAGAGTGCATGCAGAGGGCTCAGGGCAGCAGCCCCCTCCTTCTGCCCTCTCCTCTCGCGAGACGGTTCTTCTTTGCCTCTAGGAGCCTACGATTGGTTGGGAAGGAGAGAGATGAGGAGGGGAGAGGAGAAGCAGAGAAGCGGGATGAAGGGAGGGGCAGAGAGGAGGTAGAAGAAATGGAGTATGTAGGGAAGGGGAGGGAGCAGGGGGGAGGAGAGAAGGGGTCGGAAGGGAGAAGGGGAGGAGTAGAAGGGGAGCAGGATGAGGAGGCAGAGGAGGGATTGGATGGAAGGGGTGTTGGCCTTGGTGCTTCTGAGAGAAGGGAGCTTCTGAAGCAGCAGTTGATTGGAGTGGTTCGGCCGGACGAGAGACGCGAGGAGGAGAAGTGGGAGGGAGGCTCGGTGGCTGTGCTCGGCTCGGCGGAGGCTCGGGAGGAGCTGGCCGATCGGATGGAAGCACTTTTAGAGGCCAGTGCTGCTGCCCGGCAGGCTGCTTGGGAGGAAAAAACTGCCCGGCGGGCAGCTGAACAGGCAGAGTGGGCAGCAAAACAGTTGCGGGTGGAAGCAGAGTGGAGGGAGGAGAGGGAGAGGGAGAGGGGAGTGGCGGTGGAACGGTGGGTGAGGGGGAAGGGGAGGGTGAAGAGTGTTAATGAGGCGTGGACTCAAGTGGTGGAGCGAGAGAGGGGTGTGGAAGAGGCTGTTGAAGGGGAACGAGAAAGGGGGATTGTGGCGGGTGAAGGGGGGGGGGGGAGGAGGGTTCGGAGGGGATGAAGAGGGAAGAGTGAGGGGGATGGTGAGGGGCGGTTTGGGGGAGGGGCCGGAAGAAGGCAGATGGGGGGCGGAAACAAGAGGGGATAGGATGGAAGAGGAGGAGGAGGTAGAGGAGGGGGAAGCGGAGGGTGCAGCGGGGAAGGGGGTTGCTGTGGGTGCAACAGGCGTGGGGGCAACAGACTTGGGAGAGCAGGAACAGGGGGTGGGGGAGCAGAGGGAGCAGAGGAGGCAGAGGGAGGAGAGGGAGGAGAGGGAGGCGTTTGCAGTGGGGGTGGCGGAGCAGGTCAGGATGCTTGAGGTGCGGCTGGTGAGTGACTCGTTTGTTGTTGTGGGCCTCCTTGGCCGCAGTAGACTCTTCACCTGTTGTGCTATGGTGTGATGTGGTGCAGTGTGCTGTGGTGCGGTGTGGTGTGGTGCGGTGTGGTGTGATGTGTTGTCGTGCCGCGTCGTGTCATGTTTTGTCATGTGGGTTCTTGTTATATCATGTTATCCCAGAGTTCAGCTGGGTGAAGATACGTGCACGCCTCAACGAGCAGTTGGACCAGGTAGGAGATGTTTAGAAATTGGCTGGGTGCTGAAACAAGGTGGCACAAGCCAAGCGAGGTGTGTTCGAAGGGGGGGGAGAGAGTAGGCATGGGGATGGGAGTAGCAAGGAAAGGAGAGTGGTATGGGGAAGGGAGAGGAAGGGAGTAGCATAGGGAAGAGGGTGGCAGGGAAAGGGAACACATCCGGCTCTTATTGTTGGCCTTGTTCACGTGGTCTGTCAGGTGCAGGGAAAACATAGTGGAAGGAGATAAGAAAGAGCTCGATCCCCATGCCACTACCCTCCTCACGCCGCCCCACTCATCCCCCGCTACCCCCTTCTAATGCCACTCCCATCCCCCAGCCATTTCCCTCCGTAAGGAGGAATGGGCCACATCGTAGGGAGAGAAGTGGTTGGGGAATGGGAGTGGCATGTGGAAGCGGGTAGTGGGGGATAAGTTGGGCGGCGTGGGAGCGGGGTAGCATGGGAACGAGTTCTTTCTTATCTCCTTCCATTATGTTCTCTCTGCACCTGACAGACTATATGAACAAATTCGACGATAAGAGCAACGAGTTGGATGAGCTCCCTTTCCCTGCCGCCCTCCTCCCTATGCTACTCCCGACCCTTGTCTTCCCCATGCCACTCTCCTTTTCCTACCACTCCCATTCTCATGTCACCCTCCCCCCCCCCAAACACACCTCGCTTGGCTTGTGCCACCTTGTTGCAGCACTCAGCCAATTCCTGAACATCCTCCATCTGGTCCAACTGCTCGTTGAGGCGTGCACGTATCTGCACCCGGTTGAAATCTGGGAACACGGCACACACAGACATTGTCATATCATGTCATTTCAAAGTTCGACTGCTCTCTGAATTGTTTTTTAGGATTCTCAAAAGCGACTCAGATTGAACCTCTCATCCTGTCTCACATATCCTCTCCTTGCTTACCCCTTTCCTGCCTGCTCTTTCTCCCTACCCTCTCTCCCCACCCTCTCTCCCTGCCCGTCCTCACCTCCAGGCACAAGGCATCCTTCCAGACCCCACCTCCTGTGAAGCCCTGCTCTCAGCCCTTCGCCTCGCATCAACGCACCACCCTCAGCACCAAGCCCCTTCCGTTACCTCTCCCCGTCCTCCTCCTCCTCCTCGTCCCTCCTCCACTCCCACACCACACTCTCCTCCAACCCCTGCTCCCACCACTTCCTTCCCCATCCCTCAGAACGCATCACCGCAAGAATCCACAACGCCCCGTCTACCCACGGCACGGGCCATGCTGCGGCGCCTGGCCACTGCAGGCGCTGCTCTGTCTGCTGCTGCTTTCAATGAGGCCATTCGTGAGGCCATTGGGGACAGCGAGGGGAAAGACGAGGGGAATGAGTCTGAAACGACATTAGCAGCAGCAGCGTCATCTGCATCAGTATCAGGTGGAGCAGCAAGAGCAACAGCGATGGTGGAGGAGGTGGATGGGCTGTTGCTTGAGATGCATCGACGGGGCGAGCTGCCCAACCAGGTTAGTGTGTGTTCCTTTGTGGGTGTGTTTTTGTGAGGTGAGTGACAAACAACAACAACAGCAGCAGCAGCAGGAGCAGGAGCAGGAGCAGCATCGATGATGGGAGGAAGACTGGGTTGCTGCTGGAGATGCATCGACGGGGCGAGCTGCCCAACCAGGTGAGTGGCAAACGAGGTGCGTGCCCAACCAGGTGAGTGGCAAACGAGGTGCGGGTACGTGCATTGCTCAATCACTCTGCTGTTCATCTGCTGTCGCCACTGTTCTATTCATCCTTCCACAATCCACCCTCCCCCTCTCTTTCCCTGCCCCCTCTACCCATTTCCCTCCCTTCCCTCCGTTCCCTCCCATCCCTCCTCCCTCTCGCCACCTCTCCCAAGAAACAATTAACTTTCTCAGGACACGGTTCACATTCTCACTCACTCGCTCGTGGGCCCGCCTCCCCTCCCCTTCTCCTCCCCCGCACGTCTCCTCTCCCACCTTATCCGCCTCGCAGCCCTCCACCTCTCCTCCCTCGCCTCCCCTGTTTCTGCTGCTACCACTGCAGCACCACCAACAGCAACAGAACCAGCAGCAACAGCGGCAAAAGAAAGAGAATCAGAATCATCACCAACAGCAGCACAAGTAGCAGGGGCAGCAGCAGCAGAGGGCCTTACAGGTGACGCTTTGACCTCCCCTCTCTCCTCCCCCCTCTTCCACCGTCACCGAACCAACCTGATTTCCTGGACCGTCCAAGCCTGCTGCTCAGGCTCGGGCTCAGGCTCAGGCTCCGCTTCGGCCCCACTAGGTCCGGTGGACATGCCACGTGTCGCATTCTCATTGGACCTCCTGTGGCTGCTGAGGCGAGAGGGGCAGGAGCCTTGTGCTGCTGCATGCTGCGCTCCAGTCGCTGCTCTGGTGGGGGAGGGGAGGGTGAGGGGAGAGGCGGTGCAAAGGGAGGAGGGGAGGGCGAGGAGTGGGGCGGTAATAGGGGGAAATGTAGAGATGAGTGATATTGGAATGACTTTTGAGAATTCTCAAAAGAGTGGGGCAGTAATAGGGGGAAATGTAGAGATGAGTGGTGGAAAGGAGGGGGGAGAGGAGAGGGAGGAGGAGGAGGAGGATTGGGCGTTGAGGGTGGCAGCAGGGGTGGTGGAGGAGGCAGTGCAGGAGGGGTGGTTGCATGCTGGTGACATGGCTCTGGTGCTGCTGCTGGCACATGCAAGACGAGGGCTCCGAGACGAGGTGAGGGGGGAGAAGGGAGGGTGAAGGGGGAAGAGGGGAGGATGAAGGGGGAAGAGGGAGAGGTAAGGGGAGAGGGAAGAGGTAAGAAGATGTGAAATCTGGTTTTTCCTTGTTTTCCAAGAGGTAACAGAGAGGGGAAATGGGACAGCGAGGGGAGAGAGAGTCTTCAATAATCTTTCCTGTATTTTCAAAAGGTTTTAAGGTTCAAACAATATTTTGCTCTTCCTCTGCCTTCCTACCTCCCTATCGCCCTCCTCTCCTGCCTCCCCCCCTGCTGCCCCCCATCCCTTGCTACTGGCAGGCCGCCTCTCTCCTCCACTGCCTCTCCCATGCCAACATCCCTGTACCGGGCGACTTTTGAGAACCTCTAAAAAGCCCTTTCCTTCCCCCTGCTGCCGCTTACCCCTTGCTTCTGGCAGGCCGCCTCTCTCCTCCACTGCCTCTCCCGTGCCAGCATCCCTGTACCGGGCGACATTTGTGGCGTCTAAAATCCCTTCTCTTCCCACTGCCGCCTCCCAACCTTTGCTACTGGCAGGCCGCCTCTCTCCTCCACTGCCTCTCCCGTGCCAGCATCCCTGTACCGGGCGACATTTGTGGCGTCTAAAATCCCTTCTCTTCCCACTGCCGCCTCCCAACCTTTGCTACTGGCAGGCCGCCTCTCTCCTCCACTGCCTCTCCCGTCCCAGCATCCCTGTACCGGGCGGCGCACTGCTGGACGTGCTGCGGGCGGCAGCAGCGCACGGGCAGGCGGACTTCTTTGTCTTCTTGCTGCGGGAGTGGGTAGCGGCGGACGTGACTGTATTGGGGGGCCCGCGGGCTCTAGAGGAGGTGCTGCAGCTGCTGCTGCGCTGCAGACGACCCCACCAGGTGAGGGACAGGCAGCTTCTGTTCCATCTGCTGCTAATGCTGCTGCACCTGCACTGCTGCATTTGCGCTTCTGCACCTGCACTGCTGCATCTGCTTCTATTCTGCTAGTGTTTCAGCTGCTGCTGTGCTGCAGACGCCAGCTGCTGCTCCTACCACTTCTGCTGATGCTACTAATGCTACTCATGCTTCTAATGCCGCTGCTGCTGCCGCCACCGCCACCGCCCCCTCTCCCTTCCTGCCCTGCCATTCGCCATGCCGTACCCACTCCTCCTCATCAACCTGTGTCCGCCTCTCTCAACCCCTGCCAGGCTGTGTCGTGGTTCCAGCGGTGCCTGGGAGCGCACCCGCACGCCCCCCCCTCGCCTGCACTGGTGCAAGCGCTGCTGCACTGCACTCTCTGCCCCACACCGTAACCACCCCCCCTCCCCCCCCCCCCCGTTTCTGCCACCTTCCCCCTTCCACTCCCGTCTCCACCTCCCACCCCCTGCCAGGCTGTGTCTTGGTTCCGGCGGTGCCTGGGAGCGCACCCACATGGAACCCCCTCGCCAGCAGTGGTGCAGGTGCTGCTACATTCGGTACCCCTTTCCGTAACCCCCCCCATTCCTGCCATCTTTCTCCATCCCCCCTCTTGTTACACTCCCGTCTCCACCTCCCACCCCCTGCCAGGCTGTGTCTTGGTTCCGGCGGTGCCTGGGAGCGTACCCACACGCTCCCCCCTCGCCAGCAGTGGTGCGGGCGCTGCTGCATGTGCTGCAGAGGAAGAGCATGTGGCACGAGATGCTGGACGTGTTCGGGTCGCTGCAGCACTACCCAGGATATCATGACAAGGTGAGGCGTTGATAAGGGATTGTGAGGCGTGCGGGAATGGTTGCTGCAGAGGAGAAGCATGTGGCACGAGATGCTGGACGTGCTCGGGTCGCTACAGCACTACCCTGGCTATCATGACAAGGTAAGGACCATGCGGGGTGTGAGGGGATGTTCTTTGCATGGCACGTTTTACTTGTGCTTGGGCGATGTGAGGCGTGCCGGGGGAGGTGCCTGCAGACGGGAAGCATGTGGCACGAGATGCTGGACGTGTTCGGGTCGCTACAGCACTGCCCGGGCTATCATGACAAGGTGAATGGATGGGGGATGCTTAGGGTATGTGAGAGGAGTATTTATTAGATGAAACATGCTGAAGCATGCTGAAGGGGCGTGGGGCATGTGGCACGAGATGCTGGACGTGTTCAGGCCTATGAGGGACGACCCAGGTTTCCATAATAAGGTGAGGCGTGTAGTGGGGCAGTGAGGGGTGCACAGTCGTGCGCACTCTCCAGCACTGCCGCCAGCCCAGGCTGACCATCACCCTCCTTGGAGAATTCTCACAAGTGATTCACAAAAGTGACTCTCAAAAGAGAATCCTCAAAAGTCTCTCCTGCACTGCTGCCTGCCCAAGCTGTCACTCACCCTCCTCCTCGACATGTGTCCATTCGCCTCTGCCCTCTTCCATGCATGGCAGGTCAACTACACCACACTCATCCGCACTCTCCGTAGAGACGTTTCAAAAGTCTTGTGTGTGTGTCCATATGGGTGTGTGTGCATGCATGCGCCAGTGTGTCCATGTGTGTGCATGCATGCGCTGTTCTGTCCATGTGTGTGCATGCATGCGCTGTTCTGTCCATGTGTGTGCATGCATGCGCTGTTCTGTCCATGTGTGTGCATGCATGCGCTGTTCTGTCCATGTGTGTGCATGCATGCGCTGTTCTGTCCATGTGTGTGCATGCATGCGCTGTTCTGTCCATGTGTGTGCATGCATGCGCTGTTCTGTCCATGTGTGTGCATGCATGCGCTGTTCTGTCCATGTGTGTGCATGCATGCGCTGTTCTGTCCATGTGTGTGCATGCATGCGCTGTTCTGTCCATGTGTGTGCATGCATGCGCTGTTCTGTCCATGTGTGTGCATGCATGCGCTGTTCTGTCCATGTGTGTGCATGCATGCGCTGTTCTGTCCATGTGTGTGCATGCATGCGCTGTTCTGTCCATGTGTGTGCATGCATGCGCTGTTCTGTCCATGTGTGTGCATGCATGCGCTGTTCTGTCCATGTGTGTGCATGCATGCGCTGTTCTGTCCATGTGTGTGCATGCATGCGCTGTTCTGTCCATGTGTGTGCATGCATGCGCTGTTCTGTCCATGTGTGTGCATGCATGCGCTGTTCTGTCCATGTGTGTGCATGCATGCGCTGTTCTGTCCATGTGTGTGCATGCATGCGCTGTTCTGTCCATGTGTGTGCATGCATGCGCTGTTCTGTCCATGTGTGTGCATGCATGCGCTGTTCTGTCCATGTGTGTGCATGCATGCGCTGTTCTGTCCATGTGTGTGCATGCATGCGCTGTTCTGTCCATGTGTGTGCATGCATGCGCTGTTCTGTCCATGTGTGTGCATGCATGCGCTGTTCTGTCCATGTGTGTGCATGCATGCGCTGTTCTGTCCATGTGTGTGCATGCATGCGCTGTTCTGTCCATGTGTGTGCATGCATGCGCTGTTCTGTCCATGTGTGTGCATGCATGCGCTGTTCTGTCCATGTGTGTGCATGCATGCGCTGTTCTGTCCATGTGTGTGCATGCATGCGCTGTTCTGTCCATGTGTGTGCATGCATGCGCTGTTCTGTCCATGTGTGTGCATGCATGCGCTGTTCTGTCCATGTGTGTGCATGCATGCGCTGTTCTGTCCATGTGTGTGCATGCATGCGCTGTTCTGTCCATGTGTGTGCATGCATGCGCTGTTCTGTCCATGTGTGTGCATGCATGCGCTGTTCTGTCCATGTGTGTGCATGCATGCGCTGTTCTGTCCATGTGTGTGCATGCATGCGCTGTTCTGTCCATGTGTGTGCATGCATGCGCTGTTCTGTCCATGTGTGTGCATGCATGCGCTGTTCTGTCCATGTGTGTGCATGCATGCGCTGTTCTGTCCATGTGTGTGCATGCATGCGCTGTTCTGTCCATGTGTGTGCATGCATGCGCTGTTCTGTCCATGTGTGTGCATGCATGCGCTGTTCTGTCCATGTGTGTGCATGCATGCGCTGTTCTGTCCATGTGTGTGCATGCATGCGCTGTTCTGTCCATGTGTGTGCATGCATGCGCTGTTCTGTCCATGTGTGTGCATGCATGCGCTGTTCTGTCCATGTGTGTGCATGCATGCGCTGTTCTGTCCATGTGTGTGCATGCATGCGCTGTTCTGTCCATGTGTGTGCATGCATGCGCTGTTCTGTCCATGTGTGTGCATGCATGCGCTGTTCTGTCCATGTGTGTGCATGCATGCGCTGTTCTGTCCATGTGTGTGCATGCATGCGCTGTTCTGTCCATGTGTGTGCATGCATGCGCTGTTCTGTCCATGTGTGTGCATGCATGCGCTGTTCTGTCCATGTGTGTGCATGCATGCGCTGTTCTGTCCATGTGTGTGCATGCATGCGCTGTTCTGTCCATGTGTGTGCATGCATGCGCTGTTCTGTCCATGTGTGTGCATGCATGCGCTGTTCTGTCCATGCCATGTGTGTGCATGCATGCGCTGTTCTGTCCATGTGTGTGCATGCATGCGCTGTTCTGTCCATGTGTGTGCATGCATGCGCTGTTCTGTCCATGTGTGTGCATGCATGCGCTGTTCTGTCCATGTGTGTGCATGCATGCGCTGTTCTGTCCATGTGTGTGCATGCATGCGCTGTTCTGTCCATGTGTGTGCATGCATGCGCTGTTCTGTCCATGTGTGTGCATGCATGCGCTGTTCTGTCCATGTGTGTGCATGCATGCGCTGTTCTGTCCATGTGTGTGCATGCATGCGCTGTTCTGTCCATGTGTGTGCATGCATGCGCTGTTCTGTCCATGTGTGTGCATGCATGCGCTGTTCTGTCCATGTGTGTGCATGCATGCGCTGTTCTGTCCATGTGTGTGCATGCATGCGCTGTTCTGTCCATGTGTGTGCATGCATGCGCTGTTCTGTCCATGTGTGTGCATGCATGCGCTGTTCTGTCCATGTGTGTGCATGCATGCGCTGTTCTGTCCATGTGTGTGCATGCATGCGCTGTTCTGTCCATGTGTGTGCATGCATGCGCTGTTCTGTCCATGTGTGTGCATGCATGCGCTGTTCTGTCCATGTGTGTGCATGCATGCGCTGTTCTGTCCATGTGTGTGCATGCATGCGCTGTTCTGTCCATGTGTGTGCATGCATGCGCTGTTCTGTCCATGTGTGTGCATGCATGCGCTGTTCTGTCCATGTGTGTGCATGCATGCGCTGTTCTGTCCATGTGTGTGCATGCATGCGCTGTTCTGTCCATGTGTGTGCATGCATGCGCTGTTCTGTCCATGTGTGTGCATGCATGCGCTGTTCTGTCCATGTGTGTGCATGCATGCGCTGTTCTGTCCATGTGTGTGCATGCATGCGCTGTTCTGTCCATGTGTGTGCATGCATGCGCTGTTCTGTCCATGTGTGTGCATGCATGCGCTGTTCTGTCCATGTGTGTGCATGCATGCGCTGTTCTGTCCATGTGTGTGCATGCATGCGCTGTTCTGTCCATGTGTGTGCATGCATGCGCTGTTCTGTCCATGTGTGTGCATGCATGCGCTGTTCTGTCCATGTGTGTGCATGCATGCGCTGTTCTGTCCATGTGTGTGCATGCATGCGCTGTTCTGTCCATGTGTGTGCATGCATGCGCTGTTCTGTCCATGTGTGTGCATGCATGCGCTGTTCTGTCCATGTGTGTGCATGCATGCGCTGTTCTGTCCATGTGTGTGCATGCATGCGCTGTTCTGTCCATGTGTGTGCATGCATGCGCTGTTCTGTCCATGTGTGTGCATGCATGCGCTGTTCTGTCCATGTGTGTGCATGCATGCGCTGTTCTGTCCATGTGTGTGCATGCATGCGCTGTTCTGTCCATGTGTGTGCATGCATGCGCTGTTCTGTCCATGTGTGTGCATGCATGCGCTGTTCTGTCCATGTGTGTGCATGCATGCGCTGTTCTGTCCATGTGTGTGCATGCATGCGCTGTTCTGTCCATGTGTGTGCATGCATGCGCTGTTCTGTCCATGTGTGTGCATGCATGCGCTGTTCTGTCCATGTGTGTGCACGGCCTGTGCAGGTCAACTACATGACGGTCATCCGCACTTTCCTGCGCTGCCATCAACCCAACCTGTCAATAGTCCTTCTCCCCAACTTGTGTCCCTTTGCCTCTGCCCTCTTCCATGCCCGGCAGGTCAACTACACGACGGTCATCCGCACTCTCCTCCACTGCCGCCAGCCCAAGCTCCCACTCACCCTCTTTCCCAACATGTGTCCCATTTCCTCTGCCCTCTCCTATGCATCACAGGTCAACTACACCACGGTCATCCGCACGCTCCTGCACTGCCGCCAGCCCAAGCTCGCACTCACCCTCTTCCGAGACATGCTCACTTCAGGGGTGCTCCAATGCGACACCCACGGGCGCGTGCTGTCAGCCCGTGATAACGACACCACCCATGAGAGGCTGCTGCAGGCCGTGCGGCACGCGGCTCACCTGGTTGGGGATCGAGAGGTGCTCGGCATGGTGGCTGGTGCTGCTGTGGGTGCTCGCAGCACGAGCAGGAGCGGGAGGTTCAGACCTGCTCCTTCTGCAGTCAAGGATGTGGACTCTTCTTTGACCCCGAGTTAACTTTTGAGTCGACTCAAAAGTCGATGTGGACTCTACTTTGACCCCGAGCGCTGGTGATCCAAGCGTGTGAATGGTGTAGGTAGGTTGTGCTGTGTGGGCAAGTGATGCTGTGTCGACCGCGCCACTGACATGAAGCTGCTGCAGGCCGTGCGGCATGTGGCTCTCCTGGTGGGCGACAGAGAGGTGCTCGGAATGGTGGGTGGTGGTGCTGTGGCTGCTCGCAGCACGAGCAGGAGCGGGAGGTTCAGACCTGCTCCTTCTGCAGTGCTCGGCATGGTGGGTGCTGCTGTGGCTGCTCGCAGCAAGACAAGGAGGGAGAGGTTCAGACAAACTCATCCTCCTCCTGATATTGGGGATGAAAAAGACACTCCTTCGTGGCTGAGCCCTCCTGATAGCTAAAGCTTGTGATTGGTTTAGTGCACAGCGTGTGACGGCCACGTGCAATGTAGTGCAGGAGACCAACATCAGTGCTGGTAACCAACGGCTCCGATGTTAGAGGTGCCGCATGCCATGCCACTCTCCCGGTGGGCACCGATGTGAGGTCGCCGCAATGCAGGCTGTGCGGCATGCAGCTCTCCTGGTGGGCGGCAGAGAGGTGCTCGGCATGGTGGGTGGTGCCACGGATGCTGGTAGCAAGAGTAGGAGCGAGAGGATTAGACCGGCTCTTCCTGGGGTTGGGGATGAGAAAGACTATTCTCTGATGCGGAGTTGTGACAACCAGGGCTCGAGTCGTGAGAATGGATATAGTCCACCAATCACGGCAGCTCGGGTGTTGCAGAGAAGCACCAGTGACAGGTGTTGGTGTTTGGTCCTGGATTTGCTGCGGCAGGACCTGCAGGCTGCAGGCATGCAGTTCAACATGCGGCGGATTGTGGGCACTATGGCTATGTTGTACGGTCGATGGATGTGGTGTGGTCAGAGAAATGTATGAAATTGGTTGACACATTATTACAAGTGTAAGTAGAAAAGAGAGCTAGAGAAACACCACTACAAAGAGCACCACGTGTATCAATGAAGTATTGGCTGCAGATTACCAACAGATACCCTGTTTCAAAACTTGCAGGTACCTTGGTTAGTAGCTTTAAGTTTCTTAGTAGCCTTTATGGTGAAAATGACATAGTTTGAGATGAGGTAGAGTTTTGGAAGTGGAGATTTATTGTTCTTCTTAGGACTAGGGTTGTTAGGTCGGTCAAAGGTTTTCTCAGACGTTATGCTGTACCGAATTCGCTTCAGCAGAACGCTACAGAACAGAGCAAAGGTGGTTCGGCAGAAACAGCCAAAAGCCAGCAACACTTGTTTTCCAAGGGAAATCAGTCAGCAGGAGGGACTGTTGAGCTAGTCGACCAATCGGCTGGCAGAGAAAGTAAACTGCTGCTCGAGTACAAACAACGGACGCAACTGTCGGGACTAGGAGAGGGACTGCAGTCAGGCTTTGGGATGAACACCTTCGACGCCCCTCAAACCGATCTATTACCTGCGAGAGGTATTGTAGACCGAAAAAACAGTCCACTTTATCCACCAATTAGAGCAATCGCAAGTTTAGATACAGAGCAGACTTCTTCGGGCCCCAACGAACCCACACTTGCTGGATTGCTCCCATTTGCAACCAAACCAAGCACAACCATGGTGAAGCGTTCTGTATAGCATCAAGCCGCATCAAGCCAATCTGAACCACGAAGAACCCAACCGAATCCAACTTGCTACCATTACAACCCACCAGCAGGAGCATCGTTTATGTAAGATTCTCGCTGCAGCTGGAAGCTTGTGAAAGCATTCCCTTCCCACAGCAGCAAGCAGAGCAAACGGCGCTTTCCGATGTAAATTCCGGCAAAGAAGCGGCAAACAAGCCGTAGACTGTTTCGTCTGCGGCTTTCCGAGTGCTTGCTACCGTTGCCAGCCATATGTTATCAGCATTAGTCAAATGGCCCTTTCTCCAATCCCGTCCCTTACCTAGCAGCGCAGCACCATCTTGCTCCCTGCAGTGTAACAGCCATTTGCGGTCCGTGCCGGGCAGCACACCATTCGGGGTGACGTCTGTCTCTTCTGACCAACGGCTAGCGCTGTGGGAAGTGAGGACCCATGAGTTATGACCATGGCTCGTGGGAACTGTACAGTCCTCGTTCAAGTGTGCGTTTCCTTGCCGTTTCTAGTTCCTCGCACCATTCACAGCCTGACGAATTCCAAGGTACCCCCGAATGTAAGAGACAGCGGTGCAGTGTTCTATCGACCCAACTCTCAAAAGAAGCGAGCTCGGGTAATCGTTGAGCATTGCCTTTCGAGTCGTTCCAAAACCACCCTCCATCGCACCGCGAAGTCTCGAGGATAAGACCTCGAGTTCCCCTGCTCCGTCCTCGATTGAGTTGCCGATTCTTGTCAGTATCGGCCTCCAAAGCGCTTAGCAGCAACGCGTCGATTGGAATCTTACATCTCGGAAGTACGCGCTACGACACAAGCTACTTGTTGTTTAGTAGGTCGCAATACCTACCAGATCCTTAACTATCCGAATAGAGACCCTGAAGGTCTCATCACATCACGAACCAAGAAGAGCGCTTTTGGAACAATGCCGCCGCCGTTTAACTCCGGTACGACGAAGCTCGATACTCTATTCAGCGTGGGCGAGGAGCGCACGGTCGTACTCGCTATAGACACTTGCAAGTCGTGCCTTACCGCGTTCGACTCCCTTGCCGCCTCCTGCCACAAAACGCAATCATTCCTCCCCGCAAATCTCGCCGCTTCTGAAGAATTCCAGCTGAAATCCACGGACCGCCTTGTGGTGGTGTTCCACCACGCGAACCACACTCCCATTAGCATCATGACACGTGGCTCGGGAAAGCTTCGCGAAGGGTCAAACGACAGATCGAGTGACAAATCGAGCGACAGCCAATCAGAAAACAGCCCCGCGTCGCCGTCAACCCCGCGGTCCATTTTATCTGCGCTCCTGAGTCCTCTGGCCGCGGGAAGCTCGAAGCTCCGGTCGACCTCCGCATCCGGCGCCGACGACGGCGGGGACGACAGCGTCGCGCCACCCAGGCTAAGTCAGCGCCTAACTCCCGTCATCTTTCTTCTCTTTACGAATCCGTGTTAACGCCGTTCCTTCACCACCTATTGCCTCCGCCACCCTCTTCCCCCTCGTCCTAACACCGCCCACTCCCACCTTCCTCTCCTCCCCTGCAAGAAGGCGTTTACCTCTGCTCCCATTTCTAACAATTGCCGACCTTGCTGATTCCCTATCCCCCTTCTCCCATCCCCCAGACCTCCCGCGTCACCAGCTGTGGCGGCCGCAGCTAAACCCTTCTAACGTGGTGCGGCAGATGCAGGAGGCGGGGCGCGCGGACGCGGCGTCGGTGGTTGTGATGGCGCTGATGGAGGAGCGGGAGGTGCGGCGCGCGTTGGCGGAGAGGACGGCGTGGGATCGGCGCACCAAGCGCGCGGTCATGCGCATGGCGGCTGTTGCGCGCGTGTGCAAGGTGAGGGAGGAGGGGGAAGGTGGATTTGGTAGGGAATGCAAGGTGAGGGCACTGCGGAGTTCGCCACGTGGGGGTGCTAGGGCGTGCAGCGTGAGGGGTATGCAGGGTGATGGTGATGGGATTTGCAAGCTGCAAGGCAATGCGAGTGCAAGGTAATGCAAGGCAATGGGATTGTGATGAACGCGGTGCTTGGTGGCATGGCTTTTAGGGCCTGCCTTGTGACACATGTCCTCCGTGCTTGCTCTCATACTCTGCGGCATAATCTCCACATTTCCTCCTCTCCCGTTGGCGTTTTGCAGATTCGGTTCGAAGCTATCGACCTCTCCGACATCGCAGGGGAGACGGACGGCAGCAAAAAACGGGAGACTAATCCCGCCCCATCCACGCAATCGCCACCCTCGGAATCTCCGAGGAAAACCTCTGAAAAATCACCGCCGTCGCAGGCACTCTCGTGGGAGGCAAAGGCAGAAGCAGTGATTCGGTTCTGTCGCCATATCAATGCGGAACTGCTGCTTCTCCCCTCCTCCCATGCTTGTAAAGCGCTCAACTTCTCTGGCAAATTCGCCTCCCATAATTTCACGATTCGCTGTGCCCGAGACGCGCCCTGTCCGTTGATCAAGCTTGGAGCTGATTTAGGTGGTGACCGGAAGGATGGGCGAACGAGGAGTTGCATAGGCCATAGATCGGTGACGGTGAAGGATAGTCAAGTGCCTCGGAGCGCCACGGTGGATGACATTGCAATGTAATAGCACAAGTGTTATGAATGAACTTGCAGAGTGCGCAGTAAAACGAATAACGAGAATGACTGATTACTGAATTACTGAATGACGATACAATGGAAGTGACGAGGCCTAAATAGGGGAAGTCCTAGCAAGGCGGGGAGGTTGGGCGAGGATGGCTCGGTGATGGATGCGATTGGTGCGGAGGCGACTCGGGGGTGGTTCGGTGCGACGAAATAGGAAGGACAGGTTCGTCGCGTGACCCTCGGGATTGCCTCGCTAACGAGTGCCTCAGTAAAGATTCTGTAAATCCTTACAACAAGAATCTGTACATTAAAATCATCTCTATGGGTATGGGCTATTCTTCCTTCTAACTTTGGTTGGCCGAGATCCCGTTGACAGCCAGAAACAACCACTTCACTGTGGATAAGAACTCTTGAGATGACATCATCTCGCTGTATCAGTATGTATTTATATACTTAAATTACTGAGAGCTACTGAATAATAGTAAGAGAGAAGTAGACACGACCTCTCATCCTGTTACGAGTGCAATTGAGTGAACGAACGAGAATTGCACTATCGAAGCAAAAGTACAATGAGCGAAGGCATGAGCGAAGACTATATAACGAAACTACAGTGGTAACGGTAATGGACTGTGGTTGGGAAAAGCGTCGAAGCGGAGGCCCGGAGCGCGGGTTACCCGCCGAGCCGTGAGGTCGGGGTGCGATGTGCGAAGGTGGCGGGCAGATTGTCGATGCGAGGGTTGCGAGTGGTAACGGTGCTGACTGTGGTGCTACAGTGATGTACGCGTTGAGCAGGGATGCGAAGTACGGAAAAGGAATTTTCCTTACACTACCCCCCCCCCCCCCCTTAAGGAGGTCCTCCTTACGAGAGTGCGTGTACATCCCTGAAATTTCGGCTGCGCAGAGACTCGGTGAGGACGGGGTGGTTTTCGATTCTGTCCAGGGGAACCCAATTGTCTTCGGTGGGTGTACGCTCCTTCCAGCGGAGTAAGAACTCGATCCTTCGGGCTCCTCGAGGGTCGCGAACTCTGTGACTCAGGATTTTTTCGGGGGTGATGATTGGTTCAGTTGGTGGTCTTGTCATGCTGGTTGGGCGATTGCGTGGCAGTTGGCTCGTGGACGGGACGTAAGGGCGAAGTAGGCTGACGTGGAATGAGGGGCTGACGTACCAGTCAGCAGGGAGGAGGAGGTGGGCAGTGGCGGGTGTAATCATGTGGCTTATGCGAAATGGCCCGCAGTATCGGGGGCGGAGTTTCGGAATGATGGGCAGTCGGAGGTTCTGAGTGTCAAGTAAAACTAAGTCGTCGGGCTGGTAAGTGACGGGTCTGCGGTGGCGGTCGGCGTTGCGTTTAGCGATGATGTTAGCCTTTTTAATTGCGTCTGCTGCCCTGGTCCGTGCTGCTTGCAAAATCTCGGCGAACTGTTGCGCGCGTGGAACCGGGTTGTCGGGATTCGAGGTCGTGGGTACTGTTGGGTCTTGTCCGTAATTCAGGTAAAACGGTGACTGTTGGGTCGTGGCGGATGGGGCGCTGTTGTATGCGAATTCGATGAGTGGCAGTTGCTGTTCCCACGTGTTTGGGTCATCGCACGTGGCCCGGATGAGCTGTTCCATGGTCTGATTCGTCCGTTCTGTCTGTCCGTCTGTTTCGGGGTGGTACGATGAACTAAACTGTAGTCGCGTGCCGAACTGCTGCCACAGGTTCTGCCAGAAGTTGCTGGTGAATTTCGTGTCTCTGTCGCTGATGATTGATGTTGGTATCCCGTGCAGTCGAACGACGGTAGAGATGAAGAGGCGGGCTGTTTCTTCGGCTGTGATTGAATTTTCGCAGGCTGCGAAGTGTGCCATTTTCGTCAGTCGGTCGACGACGACCAGGATTGCGTCATTCCCACTCGCCCCGGCCGGTAACCCCGTGACGAAGTCCATCGTCACCTGCTGCCAAGCACGCTCTGGAGGTGGGATTGGCTGCAACTGTCCCGCCGGCCGCTTCCGTGTTGACTTCATGATCTGGCAAGTGGGACACGATGCCACGTGTCGCTGCACGTCGGTCAACATTTCGGGCCAGTAATAATACCGCTGCAGCTGCTGCCGCGTTTTCTCTACCCCGAAATGTCCCGAGGTAACCCCGTCGTGTGCCTCTTGTAATAGTAATTCCCGTAGCAGTGTGTACCCTGGTACCCAGATGCGGTCGGTCCCGGCTTTTACGCAATAGACTCCCTTGGCTGCTGCGAACTGCTGCGAATTTCCTCCTGTGAAGAATGGGTCCGTTTGATATCCGTGGGTAAATAGTCCTGTCAGTAGCGGGCTGGTCTAGGCGAGTAGTATCGCGTGGATCTGGGCAGTGGGGCGGGTCAGTGCGTCGGCGATGTTCGAGGCTCCTTTTTTATAGGTGACTGTGTAGTGGAAGTTTGACTCGAGGAAATCGAGCCACCGAATCTGTCGTGGGTTAAGGTGGGGCTGTGCGCGGAGGTACTGTAGTGATCGGTGGTCTGTCCGTACTGTCACGTCTGCGCCGGTCAAGTAGCAGCGCCACACTTTGAACGCATGCACGATCGCGAGCATTTCGCGGTCGTGTATCGGGTAATTTCGCTCGGGCGGATGAAGTTTTCGTGACTCGTATGCGATGGGCTGTAGGCCGTTGCCGAAGTCCTGTAGCAGTACGGCTCCAATGGCGATGTCGCTTGCGTCTGTAACAACCTCTAAGGGGCGGTGTGGGTCGGCGATGCGCAGGACGGGCGGTGAACAGAGAACATTTTTCAGGGCAGAAAAGGCAGCATGCTCTTTCTCCCCCCACATAAAAGCGACCCCCTTTCGCAATAAATCCGTCAGCGGGGCAGTCAACTGTGCCATGTCGGGGACGAACCGACGAACATAATTAACGAACCCTAAAAAACTCTGCAGTTCCGTGATGCTCGTTGGGGGACGCCACGCTTTTACCATATCCAGCTTCTTTGGGTCGATTTCAACTCCAGCCTCCGAAATAACGTGCCCCAAAAATTCTAGTCTGTCCCGAAAAAACTCGCACTTAGAGCCCTTGGTGAGTAACCGATGTTCCTTTAAAACTTTAAATACTGCTTCGAGATCCGCTAAGTGCTGCTGCTTGTCGCGACTGTAGACGAGGATGTCGTCGAGGTAAACTATCACGCATTTATCTAAGAGTGGCCTAAACGCCTCGTTCATGGTCATCTGAAATATTGCGGGCGCGTTGGTCAGCCCGAAAGGCATCACCGTGTACTCAAACGACTAGTCCTAAACGCTGTCTTGGCGCAGTCCGATGGTTCGACCCGAATCTGATGGTAACCCCCCCGTAAGTCTATTTTCGAAAACACCCGTGCTGTTCGCAGTTGGTCGATCAGTTTGTCGGCGCGGGGAATGGGGTACCGCGACTTGACTGTTACCCTGTTGAGCGCTCGGTAATCGATGCACATGCGAAACCCTCCGTCTTTTTTCGGTGTGAACAGTATCGGTGCGGCGAACGGTGACGAACTTGGTCGAATAAACTGCTTCTCTAACAAATAACCTAACTGCTTCCTCAGTTCGTCGAGCTCGGGCTGTGTCAGTCTGAACTGGCGCTGTACAGTTGGTTGTGCCCCCGGTTCTAACTCGATCCTATGATCATGCGCCCGCTGAGGTGGCAGCCCTTCCGGTAAGTCGTCTGGAAAAATCCCCGGGTACCGTTTCAACAGTTCCTGTAGTTCGGGCGGTACTGCTGCCAACAGTTTCTGAAAATCGCTCGGCTGCTCCGCTTCTCCTACTAATGCTATATCTACTGCGTACACGTCAGCTCCAGCGGCGACAACCCGTTTCATTGTAATAGCGTTGACGTGTACCGTTGAAGACTCGGGTGACTGCCAGCGAGGTAGCTCGACCCAGTTACCACTACTTCGTATGGTGCAGCTACCCGTCGTCCAGTCAATTCGCGGGTTATATCGTCGCAGCCAATCACGTCCCAGTAAAATATCGTGCCCATCCAGTGTCGTTGCGAGCATTTCCTGTGTAAACCCGAAATTTCCCCCGCAGCGGACTTTGACTCTCTCTACCTTCTCCCGTATGGCCAGTGGCGTGCCGTCGACTAAGCGTGCGTCTATCTCCGGTAAGCAACGGCTAAGTGTCAGCTGCAGTTTTCGTGCGGTTGCGGTATTAACTAAACCGTGGCTTGCTCCTCCATCGATAAAAATCTTCACTGCTGCTCCCTGTATTTTCCCGTGGATCACTACTGGGCAATCCGTTACTGTACCCTCCTTATTCGTCCGAGTCCGATCGATAGCATGAATCGGTACTGTGACTCGGTGAGGGTCGGTGAGGTTGGGCGAGCAGGCAGTCTCGTCAGTAGTTGGCCCGGTTCCTACTGACTGCTGGCGTTTCCCTGCCTTGGAGACTCCCTCCCCTGCTCTGCTCCGCGGCGCCTTAGCTCCTCTGGGCATTCGCTCTTGCGATGGCCCGGCCTATTGCAAGCAAAGCAGCGCCCCTTAAACGGCGCGGCAGCTGCATTCGTCGCAACAGCGTGTACAGTGGCGTGCTCGATCGGTCCCCGAGGACGATGTCCATACTAGGACCCCGGTCTCGGACGGCGTAAAATGTCGATTTTCTCGGCGAGTGCGAGAATCTCGTTGAAGTTCGAGAGCCCGCGTAGCATGATTTCGTGCGAGATGTCCGGCTTCATCCCTCCGACGTAACGGTCCACCCGCTCCGCTTCGTGCATGTAGCCGACTCGCAAAGTGCGAGAAAACCGCTCGTGTAATCTTGAACCGACCCGAGCTGCCGCCAAGTGCGCAATCTCTGACGCGCCGAAATGGAAGCCGCAATCGGCTCGAAGCGCGCCCGAAGCCCTGCGCACCACGCATCCCACGTGCTGTATTGGGCGGTCTCGCAGAATGAACTCCAGGTGACAGCTGGACCCGTGGGCCCTTCCTCTTGCGACGGTGGCTCGTAGGCGCGTGGCGACGTCACGATGACTCGCCACCAGTCCATGGCGGGGCCCCTTAGCAGCGAAACTGCATACCGAA